ATTTTAGAGAGAAAATGTAGGCATTCAGAAAATCCTCCTAATCTTTGTTAAACACAAAGGCTGTTTTTAGCTAAATACATGGTTTACATTTGACAGGCATATATATACACACAGTTAATTGAACTGAGAACAGTGAGTGCACCTGTATTCATACTCATGTATAGTGGTGGAAAGTAACTGAGTACATTTACTTCTATATTCTGTTACTTTAAATTTCTACTCCACTGAAACTCAGAGGCAAATATTATACTTTTTACTCCACTGCATTTATTTGATAATTTCTCACATTTACCAGCATCAACATTAAAGTGTTGAACACATTAATGCAACAATAAATATAACCTAATAACATAATATGTATGATTCTGAAATATAGACCTTTCCATAAAATGGACATTTTACTTATGTAAAATGTACTTACTAATTTACTTTTACTTCTAACAGATCATTATTACTTATACTTAAATAAGAAAAATCTGAGTACTTTCTTCACCACTGCCTGTATGTGTGTATTGAATTTTGTCACATTTACCCAGATGAGATTTTTATTTTTTATCAATCTAAGCCGCTGACATATAAGAACAGCATCTGAAGTCATACAGCTATTATTAGTGTGCATGACATGAAACATACCTATACATACCTCTTTAATAAGCTCAGTCATTTCGCTGACATATAGCACATGTCCAGTGGCATCAATAATACCATTGATGTGTGTTAATGTCATATATACAGGTGGGTGTACTTTCTCTTTGCTACATTTACACTTGGGGTTCTTGGTTGGCCCAAAAGAGCTGAGCCATTAAGATGACATATAGCATAATGTTTGTTCCCAGCCAATAACACCACAACAGCAGCAGCAGTCATTGTGTCTCCAGTAATAACTTACACTAGAGTGAGTATGTTGATCTGAGCTGGGGAATGCCCGGCTTCAAAGGTTACCGTATCGACCTAACGCTCCCGAAAGTTTTCTCAGGAACTAAGGGGAAACTTTGGAGGACTCAGGATGGCCTGTGCAGCTCCCTAGGGTGAAGTGTGATGCAGATGACGGAAAAGGAACACCCACGCTGAAGATATGAACACGTATACGTATGCATGCATGTATGGTATAAATACATTTGTCTTGCTTTGTACAATATTCACATGGATTAGCTCCAACACTCACCCAGACACAGGAATACAATATATAGACCGACAGACGCACACAGATGTGTGTGTGTGTGTGTGTGTGTGCTCACACATTACATATAACAGGTGAAAGTTAGCTTTTTAACTGTAACACAGCCACACCACACACAGTTTGTCCAATCAGTTTTGAAAGGCCACAGGGTTGTTTAAACACTCTCGGCACATATAGTAGACAATCATATAGACCCTCACTAGAACTTAAGACAGAGCTCTTAGAAGAACTACACACACTGTATAACACTTTGTTTTCTCTCTGCTTTTACACACTCTGGACACACAAGCCCCTCTATTATAAAAATAGATTCAATATGTAAATGGATGGGTGTATAGGTAGTAAGGTTTGTATTTAGGTAAGTTGGTATATAAATAAATCATCAGGATTAGAGAATATTTGGAGTAATGAATGAATGAATGGATGAATTGCATCTGAGAAAATAACAGAATCCACTGTCAGTACAACATAATTCAATCTTAAATCAAAAGTTCATAAAGTTGAATCTCTCAACAACTCTATATATTTTCAACAAAAACTGAACATTATAAATTTCATGGCTACAATAGTTTACATTACCTAATGAATTGGCAACTGAGTGTATGCAGACTTGCTTGAGAATGCAGTTTTAGTTTAAGGGTTTTATTGGGAAGAAATTGTGATTTTGGGCAATAGAAATACAACTGACTTGAATACACAGATATGTTGTGTTGAAACCCATGGCTATGAGTGTCTTAAAATGCTACAATGCTACTTTAGTTAAGTGTTACATTGTCAAAAGAAATAATATAGAGGCACTGTAATATGATTGGTTGAAGCCACTATGTGTACCCCTTTTATGTAATTATAGGATGTTTTAAATGATTCTGATCACTTATTATTTGCAAAAACATTAGACAATGCTGGCTTTACAGATGTAACATTAAACGTATTTTTTACTCTCAACTAGAGCTTGAAGAACTAAAGGACAAACTAATCTAACCGGGTAATTATCAGGAGGTTTATTGAGAGATAGTCTCTAGTTAAGCAACCTGTTCTTAGTCAGTGACCCACTGGTTGTCCAGGTGATGTCCTGCACTTCAAAAAACATGGCTCAAAGTTTTGGATGAAAGGTTTTTGACCTGCAGCCGATATGAGAACTTAAGCGAAAGTCATAATTTTTACAACAGGCTGATGGTTTCCTGGTATGTTTAAATCTATCCAGCACTGTGTAATAAATTAGGCAGGACAGTAGGTGTGCAGGTAGGAAAGTGATAGAAAGTAGATTCGTAGATGCAGCTTGAGACCCAGCAGCTGTCTATTCAGCAGTGATTTAGCATCTGACATGGGTGAGCCTTGTGGCTCAATAGCACTAAAAGGCTCATCCTGTCTAATGGGGTTCCTCTATGACGCAGACAAGGAGAGGCAACCCCTCCCCTTCTTTCACTCTGACATATAATCCAGAGCATACACACAGATTTACACACATAGGAAAGCACACACACCTACTGTACATCCATTTATTTTGTCCACAGTGCAGAGACTTTGAGTCACAGATATACACACACGCTCATTAGTGTGTGCACACATAAACTGTACACACACATGCTGTACACACACATGCTCTCCTGCACACTAATGAAAAGGAAGGGAATTTAGATGATGGTGCACGACAAACAGTTGTGTAATTGCTTTTGAGAAACGGCTCTTGTCGGAGGCCGTCATCGATTGGTCTTTGCTGAGGACAACTCGTTTACTCAGTGTGTGGGAGGAGGCCCAGGCGGCAGTGATCATTACTGGACTGACTGTGGTATCACTTTATTAACTCAATATGGTTTGATGTTTCTCTGTTGTGGGGAGGGATGCTGTCATACTTAGCTGAGGTTTTACTGCAGACAGAGAGTACAGTAGCTGAGAGGAGAAATAGGTTTCAGGTTAATCACACTGATAAGAAATACACAGTTTATGTTGTAGAGGATAAAAAACTGCACAATACTTTGTAAAAGTACTTTGAAAGTAGTTTTTTAGATACTCTGAGCAGAGTTGACCCATGTGACTTGGTACATGATATGTTCCATGAGTTCATTATTTGTGGTGAATTACATCATATTGGCCGAAATCAAATCATTAACAAACTGATTACATAAGCTGATTGTGTGTTAGATGGTCTATGCTGAGCTGAAGCACAGTGGGCGTAGTGCTGGAGTTGGTGCTATCCAAACAGCGTTATGAATGAAGTGCGTCACTATGTAGTATACATCCCTCCCCAGCAGATGGCCCCGCCTGCAAGTGCTTAGCTGGGAGGTGGTGGTGGTGTTGGGGTGGGGGGGCCCTTATCGATTTGGTATTTGAGATATAGCATGCAATGTAACATTTTTGGAAGGTTCTTAAAATATTTATTGCTGGTGATGCTTCTCCACGGCCACCAGTTTGCTTTGCCTCCTATTTAATTAATGACATCAATGCAAATTGGGGATGGCAAATGGTCCAAATGACTGGTGGATTTTGTGAATGGAGCACTTAGTGACTGAGGAATGACGTCAGGGCAATGCCATATCCCTTATTAGTGAGCCAGGACTGAAAGGAGTCGTCCCATTGGCTCGCCATAGCATCAGAGCGACGTGATTGGCTGCCGGCAGATAATTAAACACCTACACAGTCAATGCACAAATCCAAGTGGTGGGATATATAGGCTGGTGCGTTGACGCTGCATGCAACAGAATCAAGAGTTGTCCTGCAAGTTGAGAGAAAGTCAACTTATTTTGTTTTGCATAGAGATACATAGAGATCTATATTTATTTATTTTTTTGCTGGGTGATTATCACTGAAGGTAAGTGTTGACTTTTATTGTTGGCCGATGTGTTGGAATGGCTGTTTGACTACAAATGTACCTGATAAGCTGTTTGTGTGCATGTGTTGGTTTAGAGGGATATGGACACAGAGTCACTTTGTTAGACTCCAGTGATAGTGTTGGTGATGGGATTGAGTGTGGCCACTGGGGTCACCAGCATCACCACCACCACCAACCATTATACGAGGGTCCAGTCTGCTATTTGAAGTCCAAACACCGAGATAGAAATAGAGAGAGAGGAAGAAAAGAGAAGAAATAGAAAAAAAAGACAAAAAAATGCAAAGAGACTGAAGTGAAGAACGAAAAGTAAAAGAAGAAGAGGAAACAGGTTTCAGAGTGTGCGTGTGTGTGTGTGAGAGTGAGAGTGAGAGTGAGAGAGAGAGAGAGTGCTTGCAGCTCATTACACTAATGCACTGGTCCCTTAGGGAGTTGGCAAGCTTGGAGTCCCCCCCCATCCCTTCCCTTTTCACCCCTCCTCTTCCAGCATTAGCAACAGCTACATGTATTGCACTATCTAGGACCCCCACCTACGCTCAAACACACACACACACACACACAAGCTCCGGGACCTGCACGAGAGAACTACCTGTCCTGTGCTCTTGGTTGGATGTTTTGGAGGAACAGTGCGTTTTGCAGAAGAAGAGTGGGGGGGATTATTATGTGGCTCAGTTTTGAAAGGGTGTTGTGTGGAAGTAAAATCGAGGATGTTCAGCAGGAGACCAGAGCTAAACAGTGGGACGCTGAGATGTGGGCAGAGCTGAGCTCACCTCTCTGGGAAGTGACAGAAAGCCCTTTTTTCTTGTTGCAACTTCTTCTCAGCAGCGCAACAGGATCAGACACTAGCAAGTGTATTTTATAGATGTATGTTGGTTTTTGTTTTGTAGATTCATTTTTTAATGATTTGAGAACTTATTTTAGCAGTGTGTGAGTGTGAAAAGCTGCAGTCTTGTGCACAAGGTGCTGATGGTGGTGTCTTTCTTGCTGTGTAGGGGACCATGGTTATGTTGAAGATCTCTGCTTTCCTCGTTGCCTACGCCCTGGTCATTTGCCAGATGTACTGCTCACAAGCCGCCCCTGCCAGGTGAGACGCAGCAACATTCACATTTTACACTTTAAACTCTCACCTGACATGATGCATTTTCCAGCAACTTGAAAATGTGCAAAAGTAGAGCAGACGTAAATTCCCAGTTGTTAGAGTCACAAGCATCCAGTGGGAGGGAGTGGAGGTTCGATGCAAGAACAACGCCTTAAAAAAAAAGAACAAGAAAAAAAGAAACATAGTAAATATTTTTCTCCTGGGAATCAGTTAGAATTTTATAATCACAATATTTTAATGCTGCTAGAAAAATATTAAGAAATGGGAGAGGACTGGAAAAAGCTGCATTCAAAGATACATACGTTTACAGCAGATAGTACAGATAACATTTAATAATGTTCACATACACAAACAAACAAAAATATTTGCTCTGGTTAACCTTCATAATTTTTTGATGTTAAGTGTTGCCACTTTACATTAGCAGGATAGTGTAAAATTTAAAATACATCTTTAACCACCTACTTTTATATATAAAGAATTAATTAAAATTACATTTCCTAATCAGTATATAAAGTTTGTGTATCATATTATACCTGTAATCCAATTGGAGGAAATTACTCTCAGTGTAAGTGTTAAAAAGGGAATAATGGAAAGAAAAAAGAACAGAAAAAGTGAGATTCACTTGTAATTCAAAGTGTAATTCACTTCAGAGGGATATAAATGAGACCTATATATTTATATGAAGCCCCATTCAAGCCACTCCCCACGCTGTTCCCATGAAGCTATCGATTTTGTAATAAATCTAAAGCTGGGTGCACATCAGCCCCTCTCTCAGATGGGGCACTTTCCGCAGATTGTTTCCCCGTGTTGGCCAGGGGCCCTCCAACTCAGACGTCATCCCTCTCAGAGTCGGTGACGTCCCAGCCAACCCCCCTGAACCCTCCTATCCATCCAGTGTCTTCCACCACCACCCTACCCCACCTTAACACCCACACACACATCCCCACCCCTCCTTTTAACTGCAGGTGATAATTCTAGCCAAGGATTTAATGCTGATCTCAATGCCTTTCCTCCCCCAACTCCTCTGACCCCTAAACCTCCCCGCTCACCCCATCACCACAGACCGGGTTTAGAGTCCATGTCAGACCGAGTCACGCTCACGGACTATGAGGCGCGAAGGTTACTCAACGCCATTGTCAAGGAGTTTGTGCAGATGACAGCGGAGGAGCTGGAACAGCAGGCAACTGAAGGAAACAGGTACACAAATAAAAAACAAAAGACTTTATTTTAACCCTTTTTTAAAAAAAAAAAAAAGCAGCATAACATTTCCTCCCTGCACAGAGACTGCTAATGAAAGACTTAATTATGATGACAGAATGAAACATTTAACGTGAAACTAAACTTAGCTTTTGGCCTAAATTCAGAGGTAAAATGGACAGCTCTTTTTTGGGCTACCATGCTGGACTTTGTGTATCTTCTTAGGGAACCGTATCATATTCTGGTTTCACTTTAACACCACTCAAGATGCGTCTTTTTAGCGCCCCACTTGGGTTCAATCAGGCGTAGAGGTATGTACGTCTAAGCTGACAAAAAGAGAGCAAAACAGACCATTTCCAAGAATAGATGTTAATACACAAAAAATCCCTATTCTCTGTCATGACCCTGCTCCCGCATGGATGAGTTTGATTTTGACTTTGTTTGAACGGACTATTTCTAGCCTGCCTGCCGGGCATGTGAGCAGTGGATGCCTAACGGAACGAATAAGTGTGCATGACGTCAATTAAGTGGAGTTGCATGACAGTGGGAAGCGACTGGTTTCTGTTTGTTCTGTGGGTGTAAAAGATGTGACAAGATTGACTGGGGTGGGGGCGGAGATGGAAGTTTGGCGCATGAGGGAATGGATGACGGGTTCTTTGAATGGTGGGGAGGGGGGAAAAAAAGCATGATGCTGTTTATTTCAACTTTTTTTATATCTGCGATGGCATGAGGAAGAAACGCATGAGAGATTAGGTGCGTGAATGGAACCAAAAATAAAAGATAGAGATGAAAAAAGTGTTATGTGCATGTTTTCCCATATCTATGAGCCTGTTCTCTGCATGTGTTTTGTGTGTCCCCTCCCGAACAGCATGGACAGGCCCATAACCAAGCGCTGCTCCAACCTCAGCACCTGTGTGCTGGGCAAACTGTCTCAGGAGCTGCACAAGTTGCAGACGTTCCCTCGCACAAACGTGGGAGCAGGAACGCCCGGGAAGAAGCGCAGTGCGCCTGAGACCGACAGCTATGCAAGCTACGGCGAGACGTTTGACAGCATCTAACCCCCTCCTCATCCTCCTTCAAACCCTCTTTTACCTTTACTGCATCTCTTCTTCCTCCTCTACCTTTCTGTTTCTTTTCCCTTTCCTCTTCTCCTGTCCACTTCCTCTCCCAGTTTCTTGCTTATTGTTTTTGGATTGACAAGTGCATGTTGATTTTACCTGCCTGATTGACATGAGAAGAATATGACCTTTAACTGCAACCAACTTTTCAGTCCCGCCCCCCCCCCCCCCCCCCCCCCTCTTTTTTTTGGCAGAGAATGATTTGCCCCTATGATTTCAGACAATCAGACTTAGTTTTCATAAATGTAATTCAGGAGCCGATTCAGACATCCATCTCTGTGTACTGTGCGTGGAGTCATTTGATGGCATCGAAGCCCTTGAAATTTAAGGATTGAGAGAGATCACTTAATTGAACCATTAATAAATGATCCACTCATGCGACACCATGTTTCTTGTTCAATAAACGTATTTTTCTACCAGGAAGCCTTAGCTCATTTTCATTCTTAGGGGTACTTTACAGTGAGTGGGTACTTCATGAACTCATTAACAAATATGGACATTAAAATGGATATAAATAGGATTTTAGAGCATCTGATAGTGCCCTTCAAATAATCTATGAAGCTCTCATCAGATTTCAAAGGTAAGAAAAATGACAAACTTTAGAAAATGAAACCTTGCATGCTTGATGCATATTTTTAACCTGTACGTCGTAGCTTCATGTTTTTCTCTGCTGTGAAGTTAATGTTGATAAAAATGAACAGTGTACAGAGATACTGTGTGTCAGTACTGTATGGATGAATGTCGCACCAGATCTTGGCATTAACCCCCTGTTTGCTCTCCTGAAGCAGCGTTACAGCACAGAAGCGAGCCTGTAACACAGCAACTTGCGTGACTCACCGCCTGGCGGACTTTCTCAGCCGGTCGGGAGGAATGGGCAACAGCAACTTCGTCCCCACCAATGTCGGTGCCAAGGCCTTTGGTAGGCGGAGGAGAAACGTCCAGATGTGAGCACTCCACAATCTTCAGGGAAACGGTAAATAAAGTTTCTTCTTTGGTTCTTGCTTTTGTTCATTTTTTATAATCCATCGTCGAAAAACTTTATATTTCTCCATCTGCTAGTTAAAAACAACGACAAAAGGATTTTGAACATAAAAAGTAAAGCAGGATTATTGAATAAATAAGCAATATTACCCATCTTGACTTTTGACAAGATAATTTTTTATTACATATGTATTTAAATAATTTGGGATTTTTTAATGATTTGTAAATGGAATGATGATAAATTTACATTTATTTTCTTTCTTTCTTTCTTTCTTTCTTTCTTTCTTTCTTTCTTTTAGCGATTGAGACCTGACAAGAAAACATCAGAAAAAACCTAAGAAGAAAAATCAACAAAAACAAAATCGTGCAGAAAATAAACACTGAACTGGCCCTTGATCCACTCCCTCACATTCTTACGGAAAAAAAAGATGCGACAGGACTCCTCGTCCCCATTTCCATCCTGTTAGTGAAACCTTTTGCTTTTGGCAAATAAGAGAAAAAAATGAGAAAAAAAGACTTATGAGTTTATGTACATGAAACAAATGAACTCCTGAAGAAAAGAAAGAAAAAAACATCCTAATGGTTCCTCTTTTTTATACATGAGTATCATTGGAAAATAAAATGAAAGCAGCAGTGGTTATCACCTTATTTTCTCCTCCTTTCACCTCGTTAGAGCACATTTCTTCCATGCAAACCACGTCCCCTCCCCATTTGAGATCCATACTCCTACATCTTCCACAATTTTCTTCCCAAGGGTACCCTGTTTTCCTGTGTGCCAGGGGGACGCCATTAAAGATCAGCCTACCCAAGGCCCCCCCACAACGCCTGTTGTCTTGTGCCTTGATGTAGAACAATTTACATGAACATGATTGTACAGTTCTGTTTTGAGATGATAGAGGACCCGAGCGAGGATGAAGAGAATGAAGACAGATTAATATTGTAAACAATATTGTGAAAACAAATTTCAGCAAGATTAAAATGTATTTTAGATACACTCGGGTTTGGGGTACTTGTGTTGTTCTTCAAAGGTTTTCAAGCATTTAGGCCTAGAAAGAGGTTGAACGATTGAGAGGTTGATTATGAGAAGCTTATATTTGTACATTCATTGCTTCATTATTCATTAACAGTGTCCGAAAATTATAACGATAATCGTATGACATTAGTGAGTTTCACATGAACAGAGTTATTTGTAATTCATTGGTTAGAAATTTGACATTTCCCACTGACAGATACACACTCACATCAGGAAAATTTGTAGCACACGTGTAATTTGGAAAAACACTGAAAATTAAATGTATGTAGTGACGGTCTGCAGGTGTAAACACATGAGTTTCATTGGGAGTATTTTTTGACTGACGCCACAGCGGCATGGACATGTTGAGATACATGATGATACAAGAAAAAGAAAAAAAAACTGCATGGGTAATTGCTTAATAAAAGGCAGCCAAACCTGCAGTCAGACTTGTTCTTCTTTAGCTCCATTGGAGGTAAACGCACCCCACTCAGTTCAATCAGAATCAGTAGATATATTGCCTTTTACAGAAATTATGTACTAGAAACACATTTATTTTCCACATACAAGTGCTAACATTACACAGCAGATTGGTGCAGAGACATCAACACTTTTCTTTGTTTAGCAAGACACAACATATACCATATACCACTTACACAACAATACATTCTTCAATACAGTATTTATGTACTTATCAGCTGACAGACTCATTTTTAATCATCAAATGTTCATTCGTGTACAGTGACTGGGTTCTCTTGTTTTTACAGCAGCACTCCAATAGGTGGCAACATAATTATCTTGACAGAAGTTTGAACACTCCTGTAGGTGTATCACGCGAGGAATTTATCGACCAATACTTCATAACAAGGATGTGTGGTTTTGATGGGTTTTGATTAATGAGAAATGGTGAGAATTAATGAGAAGGTGATGCACAAGTCAGACTGAAACACACAATACCTCATAGGAACAATCTGCATCTTCTTTAAGATCAAAAAAGGTGAAATATTGTCAGCTCAAATTCTGGACCAACTGCAAACAATCCAGACATGGAAAATTGTTCTTTTTTCTCTTTTCTTTTAAAAGTAACACTGAGGGAGACAAGACATCAGGACTGGTTTTACAGGTCACCTCTTCAGCAGATTACTCTCTCAATGAAAGTATGTGTACAAATCCAGGGGCCATTGAGTAAAGGTTCAAAAAAACCCACAAAAGCTGAAAAGCTGATCATCATTAGAGTAATATAAAACATGAATCTTGATGTATTTAGATGGGTCTCTGTAACAGGAAATAAGACGTTAATTCTACATAAATCATATTAAGTGCACAAACTGGATCGGATAAATATCATGCAAATAATAATTACAGTTTTATGTTGTTTTTAGCCATCAATAACATTCCCCATATGGACTGCCAATGGTTTGTAAGGTATTTGAGGTGCAGTGTGTTTCCAGAAAAATCCCAGACAGAGAGCTAAAAAAGTACTTGAAGAGAAGATAAATAAAGGCCCTTCAGTTTTGGATGACAAATATGGGATATAAGTTTGGAAATTGAGGGGATAATGAGCCCATTCAATAAGGGTGAAATTGAAAAACAGGATACAGTTGATCCTATTTAGTTGCACGGATGAATGCCAAGTGTGCACCGGAGCAAATACAGGATATTTGTCGCAGTGTGCATCACACTCAAGCACACAAGAGCTGTCAGAACTAAGAAAAAAGATGTATTTTTATAAAAAACCTCTTTTAATTTAGATGAAATACAAGGAGTTTGTGAGAAAAAACTGCTACCATCAACACCAGACATGACTTGTCTATGCTAGAGACACTTAAAGCAATAAATTACTATAAGCCAACTGTTCAACTGAATGACTTATTAATTCCCAGATGAGAGGATATGGATAAAAATATGTGAACCTAATCTATCGGAGTATAAACAGAAAAGGGGATTTGTGCTCTATTCCCTCTGAAGCCTTAAAACCCTCATCTGTCAGCTGTTTTTACAGTCTTTCCACTCATGCTCTCTCTGTGTCTTACTATCTGTCTGCTTGTCTGTCTGTCTGGAGAAAATCAGCACTAAAGTCAGAGCCATGCAAGAATCCACATGGAAACTTTTCCTGACTGAGGAGGAAAAAATGAAACCCCTTGTCTATATTCTGATAATTGAGGGAGACGGGAGGTTGAGGACTGATTCGTGGGTCGGTTTGGTTTTAAGCTTCTTTCTCAGCAGTAATCTAACAAGCCCACTATGCCAATGAGAATAGCAGTCCTAATGGTACACAGCTGCTTTGAATGGGGCCCTTCCAGTTGGAAATTAGATGGTTCATATAAGAGAAACCAAGAAGCAAGCCCCCATCTACAGAGAAAAGACATGCCGCTAGTCCAGTTCCGAGAATCCTACACCACAAAACCAATATCAAAACCTGAAGCTTTGGTACATGCTTCTTTTTAATGTTTTAAAGGACTAGTGTGTTGGATTTAGTGGCATCTAGTGGTGAAGTTGCAGATTGCAACCATTTGAATACAGCTCAACCTTCCAAGGCTGTAGGAGAAAGTATGGTGGCCAAGAAACTCATGGCGGTTCAACATGGCAGACTCTGCAGATGAGGACCCGCTCCCTCGGATAAAAACAGCTAAGGCAAGAAAGGAAGGAAGCAAAACAGTTCTTATTTTCAGGTACACTATACAATACAGTGGTATTCCACTACAGCAAACATTTTAAAAAGTTAAATGATTCTTTTGTGAGCACAAGCACAGCAGCGCAGTTACTTAAGTCATCATACTTGACTTTCTTTCTCCAAATAATTTTTCTTCAACTGTCTTGTAATTTCTACTATCTAAAAGCTTCTACAGTGTTCAGTAGCCTTTTGACTCACCTTTTATGTTGAATCGTGACATTTAACCCGCAGTTGTATAGGGCTGGGAAATGGTGTTTGTTAAAGGCAGCTGAAAATAGGAATATTGAACAAACATTGCCAATTTATTCAATTATCATCCTTATTAACTTAAATTCTAAACACTTAAAGGCTATCTGTGTCAAAGTTACTACTTAGGGACAACATCTTTTGAATTCAACATTGCCTGAGAGAACTGCAGCCTGCAGCTGTGTGAGAGGATAAAATGTAATCCTTGCAGGCAATTGCACACCGTCAAATTATGTCCATTAAATGTGCTTGTTTTTTTCTACTGAGAGGCTCAGATTGTTAATATGGTGCCAGAACCAGCAGGTGGTTAGCTCAGCTTAGCATAAGGGGGGGAAACAGCTAGCCTGGCTCTGTCCAAAAATGTTTTATTTCCGCCTAAGGATTGAAATAAATATTACATTTTAATTAACAAGCTTCAGAGGTGCTAATTTTGTTCTGTACCTTTTACCAGAGCTGGGTTAGTCGTTTCCACCTGCTTTCAATCTTTATGCTAAGCTAAGCTAACTGTCTACTGGCTTCAGCTTCATATTTAGCATACAGACGAGAGTTGTATCAAACTTCTCACCTCAAGAAAGCAAATAAGAGTATTTCCCAAAATAGTTCCTTTAAATAATGGGGTCTCGCTTCTAAATGTGCTTTGATGAGCACTCCGCTGTTGCATTTGCCAGGAAATTAGGTAACATTTTTGAGGAAATTAGCTGTTTACATTCAGATTTCAGCTAAAGCTAATATTTATTGACTCTATACAGTGTAACAGGCCCTTATGTGCATTTGGGAGAGTGTATGGAGCCGCCCCTTCACATAATCACGTAATTATTCACTTAAGAATACATAGCCATATTAACTGCAGCAACCCAGACCAGCTGAGTCTTCCTTGTAATGGGAACCAGCCGACTGCCGTTTATATTTTCATTTTCCTTCCTCATTTTTAAAGCTCCAAATTTTTCCATAAGGTAGTCATTTCCAAGGCTGATGTGAAACCAGACACCAAATAGCACTCATGGTAAAGATCCAGAAACAACATAAGGCCTGCCCGACATCCTCTCACCTTCCCCAGTCCCCCTTTCCGTCCTGTGCGACTGTTCCTGGGAAGGAAAACACCCTTTCACCGTGTCAGAAATGGGATTTCATTCTGCTGCCATGGCAGTTCCTTCATCGGGCCCTCTTTTCTGTCCCTCCCACTCTTTCTTCTCCTCCCCTCTCTCCCTTTGCTGCCACATCTGGAACCCAGCTCCTCATTTATTTATGTGGTCTGTGTTGTTTCTTTTTTTTTTTCAAAGTCTTATTTAAAACTCCTTTACCTTGTCTTGTTGGCAGTTTCTCTCCATCTGATGAGGTCTGCAATTACATCTCGCCATAACTGGTCACTCTGCAATTACATGCTCCACCACAGAATCTCCCCCCTCCTCCTCTGAAAAGCACCACTGCTCATATGGCAGACCGAAATAGAATAGTTTCATGTCTGTTTGGATGGCGGCCCAGCTGAAACTATGCTCCGCTGCTTGACTGACAGTGGGATGTGGACTTTTTCTCCCCAAGAAAAACCTTTAAGGCCAGTCGCGTTTAGTCTCTGAGCAGTCCTACTCCAGCAGGCGTTGGTGGTGGTTGGCCCAGCTGGGCTCCAAGACGGGAGACAGAAACAAAGTTAGAGTGAGTGAAAAAGAGGACAGAGACACACGGTTTGCAGTGAAGAGGACAAGAACCCCAAGCTGTAACTATGAACCCTCCTGGGAACACTTAACCTTTCAGTCACTGACCAAGAGAATGGGTAAGTTTGGCTACCAGTTCAGTCTAATCTAAGCCTCTGGGAATGAAGGAATGATGCTGTGAGAAACTTTCAGTCTTTTCATGAAGTTTTGGAAAACCTAGAAGACAAAGTTCTTCAGATAACTTAAGCATGACTCAGTCGTACAGCATGTGATTTAAATAGAAAACAAAACACAGGACATCCCTGTCCTTTAAGCATCTTCAACAGCAATGTCCGCTTGGCTGATTTAGGTGGTGACAGAAATTACATAGAGTATTTTCCAAATGGCAATGCAGTTGTTGCATTGTGCAAAGTGCTTGCAGTGCTTTCAAACTCCTGCATTTAAATGGGTGGTAACTTAACTGATGTCACAGGCCTTTTTTCTCATAAAAGTGTACTTGACCAACGTCCAAGTCTGCTTTTTTATCACAGAAACCTTGAAGGTTTTCTAAAGATGAACGAAGCATTCTAACTTAAAGCTTCTGTAGTGAAGGGGCAGCAGGGTTGATCCTCTGCACACCTAGATTCTCAAAATCTTAAATGTTATATGGACAGTGATATTTTTAATATAGTCCCAGATGAGCACAAAATAATAATTTATAATATAATATATTTATAATAATAATTATGTCTAAATTCTGAAAGGTATGTAAAGAAATAGCTCAGTCTAAATGGAATTGCTTCATTGAGTGTGTCAGCAAAAATCTAACCTTAACTTTGAATGGGGAAAACAAGCTGTAAAGACAACAATGGCACCATGTTTTAAAGTTGATGTAGCAAACTATTGTCTATTTACACATCCAGCAGAGACTGAGCAACATTAACATTCACACGTTCAATGGTTTCTGGCCACCTGATTAATGTAACTCTCTTTTAGCTCTGTTTTTGGTCTCTACCAACTCCTTAGGGAAATATTTGCCTCTTCAGCTGCTAAATGCTACATACATATGTATGTGGCATATAGTGGGTATACTAGAGTTTTTCATTATAAACACCTGCCTGCTGCTGCCAGAGAGGATGAAAAATTAAAAACACTAAAGTTTGGTGCCCTAAAACCAAAACAATGAGCTGAAAGATGGGTGACATTAAGTTCTGTCTAATGTGTCAATTCAATTCAATTCCATTCAATTGTATTTGTATAGCGCCAAATCATAACAGAAGTTTAAGTATCTCAGGACACTTTTCAAATTGAGCAGGTCTAGACTGTACTCTAAAAAAAATTATTGACAGAGACCCAACAGACCTTGGCAAAGAAAAACTTCCTTTTAAGAGGCAAAAGCCTCAAGCAGACCCCGGCTCTAGGTGGGCGCGGCTGTCTGCCTTGACCGGTTGGGGTTAGAGAGAGAGAGGGGTAGAATGAGGAGGGTGTACAGGGAGACAGAGATGCATTAATAACAATAACAACTATAATTGTATAAATAGGACTAATAATGATGATGATGATGATGATGACAGGGATGATAACAGCCATAATAATGATGATAATAATAATAATAACAATAATATTAGCAGTGGGCATCAAACAGAACTACAACAGCAGGCAACCGCAACCACAATCCATGGGAACCTGCGAGATGAGAAAGCACAAAAACTCTGTGGAAGAAGCTAAGTTAGTAACATGGATCAATGGGACATAATATGTATGCAAACAGCAAACACTACTGACTGGATTTTACACTAAACGTTCACATTTTAAATTGCAGATACATTGCATATCCATCCCTTTTGTAGTAACTTGGACGTGCCAATTGATGCTATCAAGATAAATATGAAGGGTCTTCTTGGGGCTACTGCTCAGTGTTCTCAATCGGAAAATATTTTATGTTTTTGTTCTGAGTCATGCTGGAGCTGAACGCCATAGTGACTATAACTGTTAGGAGTGGGCTGATCTGGTTTGTGTGGGAGTGATGGAAGTTGAGACTGTGGAAAACTACAAAGATTACAGTGAGGCTGACGGTAAAGATGAAGACACAGCTACCACATGTCGTTACTACAGGCTTCTGTGTGTGTGATGTGGTGGTGGAGAAATGTGTGTGTATGTGTGTGTTTGAGAGGGATACAATTAGAGATTACAAGAGAGATGTGTCATTGCGTTTTTCCATATACACTCTCTCTCTCTCTGTATTTAACAATTGCTGATTATGTTTGTGCATGTGGACACTGTGCTATCTGCATGCTGGTGTGTGTGTCTATACATGTGTGAGCGCATATGATCGAATCTTTGTATCTGTTCTTTAAATATGCGTTTATTCATCTATCATTTCCATTCTTTTTTTGTCCAGTCTCAAAGTCCATCAATTGCCCTCCAAGCAGTGAGAGTCACAGACTTTAACTGACATCACCTGTGTGCTCAGTGTAAATGCACAAGTGGAAAAAGGTGCAAAGGCTTTGAATGGTAACATGCTGAACAGCAAATACGTTACCATGACCATAAGCATTTCTGTGGCCATGTAAGTCATGTTGTTACTATATAATTATATGACAAACAACAACACACAGAGCACAGTGAGCTATATATATATATATATAAACTGTTTGGTTGTTGTTTTCCGAAAGACTGACATGTAGTTCGGTCCACCACTTTGGTCCAGACTGAAGTATTTCAGCAACTATTGAATGCCGTGAAATGTTGTACAGACACTCATGTTCGCCAGAAGAGGAATTTTCTTTCAGCGGCACCATTAGGTTGACATTTTTGCTTTTCACTTGAATGTCTTGAAAACTATTGAGTGGATTGCAATGAAATTTGTTACAGACATTCAAGTCCTGATTCCCAGGATAATCTGTAATAACTTTGGTGGTTTTAAAATGTCCAATACTTTGACTACCTTCTAAACTAATGACCTTCAGCCTCAGATGTACTGATACTAATGGTAATTTCCATATGTTGGCATGCTATCACACTAAAATAAAATGGTGAACATGGTAAACATTAACCCTGGTAGTAGCATGTTTGCATTGTTCTCTTAGTGTTTTCCTTAAAGCACCACTGTGTACAGTCTCAGAGAGCCAGCAGCCCTGCTCATTTTTCTTTTTTGGGAGCTTTCAGTCATGTTGTTCATAATAATGTTAATTGTGGGTTATCTCCTCAATCAAAGCTCAAAGACCTATCAATAAGCCGCTTTCAGAATCTTTCAGGAGGAATGACTCTTGTGATTGATCATCTAGGGGCTTGTGGGACATTGCCAAAAACAAAAAAAACACATCAAGAAGTGAAAAGATTTTCAGTGTCTTGCTTTGTTCTTACTATTTGGCCTGTCTTGCATCCTATACACTAGTGAGTCTTACATTTGATGACTGATTACTTCATTCAAGTTTTACAGTGCAACTGGGGTCATTTTGGTATAATAATAACCTATGCAAGGAAATGTGATTGTGGCTTTTATCACTCCCAACAGGAAATGATGGCTTAGCATCAGTTGTATAAGAAAACCAGTGCCATGCTTCAAACTAATTGTAATAGTTCCTTCAGCATCAGTAGATGAAACTATGACAACCACTTCCCGTAAACATTCGTTTAGCACTTCTATCTAATAATACATGACTGGTAGTTACTCTCTGCCATGCATTATCCTCTCGCCTGCCTGTTGAACAGCTGAGGAGGGCGTGGCATGGTTAACACGAACCACACATGCAGGTGTGGCCCTTACTGTGCTGTCACACTGTTTAATTAGGTTTTCGTTCTGCGGGCGGGGGAATTGCAACGTTTCCATTTAAAAAAATCTCATGTCTCCTTAGGCTCACACCCATCCTCATTGTCTCAGACATTAAGACAGTGCCTTGTGAGTGCAGTGTGATGAGCAGTGACTATGAGGGTGTGACTGAACTTTGTGACCACAGCTAAAGTTGGAAATGTGAGGCTGCACTTTGCTCCACGCCAGTCTGGTTTTCTCAGGATCCGGTGCCAAAGCATTTTATATTCAAACTAGCATGCTCATACTAAACTGGCTTTATGCTCAACATTGTGACTTCTTTCACTCGTCAGAGGTGGAAAAAAAAAAACCATCCTGTGTAATTGCTCCTAATATTAGGTAACCAGTTGAATCATGTTTAAGGGGTGTAGATCCCATACTTGGAGCTGGACCTACCCCAGTGTCTGTCGTTTTCTATTAGTAGCTTCTCTCTTTTGAATGAGGTAGTTTCCCTGCTCTTTGTGTCTGTGTGGCCTTGTTAAACAGGGCTGGGTCATTTTGGTTCTCCTCCCATGTGTCTGGTGCTCCCCAGAAGCTGTTTCTCACACAGCTTGGCCTGTCCTTTGACTGTTTCAATCCATATAGTTACAGAGTTTCATTTTCTTTTGTTTAATAATTTGCCCTTATTTTAATGTACCTATACTTTTGTTCAATAAATGGGAAAATATAAGTCATTATCTATAACTGATAGGGGCTGATACAACTGACGAGAGTAATGGTATGCTTGTTCCTCCTGAACCGGTCGGTACAGGACGTTCAGCACTCCCTGTGACCCAAACAATTACTATCAAAATAGCCTATGTATGTCAACTACTTACACCCTTACTTGGCAGTGCACCAGTTGTTGTCTATTAGCGGTAGCATGCTAGTTGGCTTAGCTGGGATAGTCAAGCTTAAACTTTCAGTTGGCATGTGTTACTTAGAAACACAGTTAGAGCGGGTTGTCTATAAAACACATGGTTGGTGATTTTATTTTCCCATCTCCTATCCAGGTGTTGAAGTGTCCTGACACTAAACCTCAATTGCCCCCACAATGGCACCTTTGCTGCCATGGATATGTGAGAAGGAGAGGTGCTTTGATATGAAAGCACTATAGAATGCAGTGCATTTTCTAGTCCATTTCAAATGATTTTTGAATGAATTTGATGTCACTTTTGCCAAGCAATAATTCATAGCTTTCATGTTTTGTCACACACTCATTGGAACGCCCACTTGGATGGCAAAACAAGGCTTTACTCTGCTGCACACCAGCTTACTTAAGTGGTTGTCGACACAGACCAAGTTTGTAAATGCCAGATAGTTATTGTGTGATCAGATACACTAACTTAT